AATAGGGAAGGACCTCTCCGAGCCGTTTGATACCAAACGAGGTTTCAGACAAGGGGACTCCCTTTCGTGTGATTTCTTTAATCTTATGTTGGAGAAGATAATAAGAGCCGCAGAACTGAACCGCTCAGGCACAATACTTTATAAGAGCGTACAATTGCTGGCGTATGCCGACGACATCGATATTATCGGTAAAAACAAGGGCTACGTCTGTTCTGCCTTCTCGGGATTGGATAGAGAAGCAAAGCGAATGGGTCTGGTGGTGAACGAGGACAAAACGAAGTATCTCCTGTCAGCACACAAACAGTCAGATCATACGCGTCTTGGCACCCACGTCACTGTTGACAGTTACAAGTTTGAAAAAGTAGACGACTTCGTTTATCTGGGAACCAGCATTAACACCAATAATAATGTCAGCCTTGAAATCCAACGGAGAATCACTCTTGCCAACAAGTGCTACTTTGGGCTGAGTAGGCAATTGAGAAGTAAAGTCCTCTCTCGTCGTACAAAGATCACACTCTATAAGTCACTCATCATGCCTGTGCTGGTGTATGGCGCGGAAGCATGGACAATGAAAGCATCTGATGGGGCGGCTCTTGGAGTTTTCGAGAGAAAGATTCTGCGAAAGATTTACGGACCTTTACGCGTTGGTGATGGCGAATATCGCAGACGATTTAACGATGAGCTGTATGAGCTTTACAACGATATAGACATAGTGCAGCGAATTAAAATTCAGCGGCTCCGCTGGCTTGGCCATGTCGTTCGGATGGACAGAAACGCTCCTGCTCTGAAAATATTCAACGCGGGCCGCGATGCTGGTAACAGAGGAAGAGGAAGGCCTCCTCTGCGTTGGAAAGACCAGGTGGAGAAGGACTTGGCTTCACTTGGCATTTTCAATTGGCGTCAGTTAGCACAGAAGAGAAATGACTGGCGTGCTGTTTTGGACTCGGCCAAAATCGCTTAGGCGGTTACAGCGCCAAATAAGAAGAAGAAGAGGTTTATAAGCCCTAAGTGCGGCCGAAGACCGCCTACGCAGAAAGGTGTTCTCTGCAAAAGGTGTTCAGCCCCCTTTCTTTGGCAACACAGAAGAGAATTCTACGTAGTGAGGGTTATAATCCCTAAGCGCGGCCGAAGGCCGCCTACGCAGAAAGGTGTTCTCTGCAAAAGGTGTTCAGCCGCCTTTTTTTAGCAACATAGAAGAGAATTCTACGTAGTGAGGGTTATAATCCCTAAGTGCGGCCGAAGGCCGCCTACACAAAAAGAAGTTCTGCGCTAAAATACTATCATATTACTATTACTACAACATTTCTATCTGTCGCTTTTTTCTTAATTTCACAATATTTTTAGTTAAATTTTTTTTCCTTAATTTTTTTTTTAGTTAATTTTTTTTTTTCAGATCGCCTGATAACCAACTTGGGATAATTTATTTTATTTAAAAATCCCACGGTTTTCGTTAGTTGGGTTATATTCCACTTCAACCTGCTCAGTTTGCCTCGGAAAATGCCGTTTTTACCCCATTTTAAAACGGTTCCCTAGGGGTCTGTGGGAGGTCCCCAAGGGGGGGTGGGGATTTTCGTAAAGTGGCGACTGTCCCCTTTCGAATGAGGGGGGTTTGTATTTGCACATATCCTCAAAAAATTGCCAAACTCCGAAGCTAAAAGCAACAAAGATTCGCGCGCGGTATTTTTATGTATGTATCTAGTTTTCAGCAAGTGTGCAATTTCACATAATATCTACATACCTACATTCCTATCCCTGTACTACTCAGCTAAGTGCCGCTATTTTTCAGTCGCGAACAAAAACGTCTGCGACATACATACATATGTATTTGAGTACTGCATTTACATACTCATAATCATGCGCATACAAACAAGTCGCCAACCGAATTTAGTACACACTAGTGTGCGGCTATATACAAAAAGCAAAAAGCTTTTAAATAAATATATATAAGAGGAAGCGTTTCCCAAGCTCCTTTAAGATTATAAAATATATAGCTCGTTCAGCTCCACATATAAAAGTAGATAGATATATATACAAATATATACATATATATATATACATTGTTGAACACAATTTTTTCGATTTTTTATCTCATTCGAAGGTTACCCATACTAATATTGACTCAGTTACGTGTTCGACATACATATGTATATATAAATACTTGGTTGTTTGTTTCCCCTTTAATACCCGTTAGTCCACTTCAAACGCAATTCGGTTAACGCGCGCTCTTTTACTTGTAGATATAGAACACCGCTGAGGTTCGTACATACATACATTCCAACGCGTATACAAATAAGCTTCACCCTCCTTTTTTCGCTCTTGCACGGCACATAAAAAGCACTGTTACTGGACTTAGACGCACTAGGACAGTACAGTGTAGCAAAAAGCAATTGACTCACAGTGGGACAAAACCAGTACCCACGCAAAATAAATAAAATAATCAAAGCATTATTTTTAAGTAAATTTAATAAATAATTCATCTCGAATTGATCATTTAATATTACAACAAGTTAGATTTATATAATTCACCTGACCTGAATTACCCATCCCACATACCATGGAAAAAAAATCACTAACTTCTAATGATAATGATTCTGCTGCAAGCCTCCAAGCATTCATTTTTGAAAGCAATAGATTAGAGTCCTTTTACTCTACATGGTCAGCAACACTTATAGCTGACCAGACAGAATCCCTATTGAAGGTCAAGATCCAGCAACTGGACAGATTGTGGGAATCACTCGTTGCATCCTTTAGAGCAGTATCCCTTTCCGGAGATCACGATGAGTCAAGTGGCTCAATCGAACAAAAATATAGAAAGTACTCAGAGAGCTACGAGAATTGTATGTCCCAGATTTTAGACGCTATGCAGCTTTTCCCCCCCACCACCACCACCCCGTAACCTCGCAAATTCTTCAAACTCCTCTGAAGTATTTATCAAAGTACCACCATGTGACACCGAAGTCTTTCATGGTGGGTACGAAGACTGGCCTGCCTTTAGGGATATGTTCACGGCAGTCTATGGAAATCACCCTAAGCTAACACCAGCCCATAAACTCTTCCATTTTCGACAAAAAACTAGAGGCCAGGCAGAGCAATTAGTTAAACAATACCCGTTGACTGACGAAAGCTTTCAATTAGCCTGGGATGCACTGAAAGCGCGGTATGAAAACCGCAGAATATTGGTCGATAACCAATTAAAAACACTTTTCAATCCCCAATCGATTTATTCAGAGAACGGTGAGCAGATTCAGAAACGCCAAACAGCGATAAACAACTGTTTATCCACTTTGGCAGCACAAGGAATCCCAACCTCCAACTGGGACCCCATCCTTGTGTATATTTGCTCGTCAAAACAGCCCAGTGAAACCCTTTCTTTGTGGGAACAGTCGCTGAGTTCTCGAAAGAACTGCCGCAGTGGGCTGATATGAATGAGTTCTTAACAACCCGGTATGAAGTTGTAGAGAGACTCAGCACTTACCGCCCTGGCAAAGCCAGAACACCTCTGCCGAGTTTCACTCCCAAAGCAGTAAATCAGAACTCAACTTTCTTCAATAAAACTAGGACCCATAATTTCCACACTGAACTAAATCAGCAAGTATCATGTAAGTTATGTAATTCTAACCACCCCATGAAAACATGCGTGAAGTTCAAAGCGCTTCCTGTAACCGAGCGCCTCAAGTTCGTGAGAGACAATAAATATTGTGAGAATTGCCTCTCGTACTTCCACCTCAAACGCGATTGTCAGAGCAAGTTCCTATGTACTGCCAAAAAAGACATCACTCTCTCCTCTATTTACAGCCACCATCCCAATCGTCTAGGGCCAACCCAATACCTCAAAGAACCGTAGCGCAAACATCGACCCAAAATAGAATAGAACAAGAACAGCCTTCGACACTCGAGCAGGCTGCCAAAGGGGCACTTATAAAAAGCCAATCTGACAGTAATGCTCAAAAGGTTTCTTCCCATTTTTCAAGTAGCAGCGCAACAACCCTACTCCCCACAGCAATAGTCCCAATATACTTCGCAGCAGAATATCATAAAATTCGTGCTCTAGTCGATCAAGGGTCACAGAAGACCTTTGTGGCGTCACGAATTCAAAAACTCCTTGGCCTACCCACTAGAGAAATTCACTACCAAATCTCTGGAATGGGAGGAATGGTAGAACAAAATTCGAACAAAATTTGCGAAATAACGCTATGTTCATCTGATTTGGGTCAGAAAATCACAGCAAACGCAATCATCCTCCCTCAGCTCACCCACTTTCTGCCCACATTCAAAGTGTCAAATGTCAATATAGACGAATTACGCTCCCTCCAGCTTGCTGACCCTAACTGTTTTACACCAGCAAAAATCGATATGGTGATAGGCAGCGATATAAGTCCCCAAATACTCCTGGAAGGGCTACAATACAACATCCATGGCACCTTATTAGCCCAAAACACAATATTTTGATGGATACTCAGCGGTCCAGTCAGAGAACATATCTCGACGTTCTCCACCCGAGTCACAGAGGCAATAGAACCCGAACTCAGCACGCTGCTCAAAAGGTTTTGGGAGCAGGAGGAGATAGAAACCGCTCAACCCAAATCAGCTGAAGACGATTTCTGCGAGGAACTTTACAAGACCACGACCACCAGACGAGACGATGGACGATACGTGGTAAAACTTCCCTTCAAACCAGAATTCCCGGACGCGCTTGCCTTAGGTAACTCCCGGCCAGCAGCACAGCAACAATACATAAGCATCGAATGGACTCTGGAGAAAAGGGCGGAATTGCGCGACAAGTACTCAGAGGTGCTGAATGAGTACTTAAAAAGGAATCACATGGAGCAGGCTTCACCCCTTGAAGTAATAAAAGACGGAAAATATTTTTCAATTTATTTACCCCATCATGCTGTCTTAAAGCCCGACAGTAAAACGACAAAAGTGCGTGTCGTCTTTAACGCCTCTAAGATATCACATTCAGGAAACTCCCTGAATGATGTTCTTTATACAGTCCCAATACTCCAAAACGACTTGACGTCCATTATCCTCAAATGGCGTCTTTATAAATTCGTTTTCAATGGCGACATAGAAAAAAATGTCCGTCCGTAAAAAATATCAAAATTTCCAAAGGATTCTCTTTAGGAAATCCCCTCATCTGCCAATCGAAGATTTTAAGTTAAAAACCGTCATCTTCGGTGTTAACTGCGCCCCATATCTGGCAATTCGCACGCTTCACCAGTTAGATCACGATTGCCAAATGAAATACCCTCTTGCCAAAAACATCATACTACACGATACATATGTAGATGATGTACCCTCTGGCGGACACAATATACAGCCCACTCTCAACTCTATGACCCATACTATCGAAGCTCTAAAATCGGCAGGCTTTCCACTGAAAAAAATTACAGCAAATCAATCTAAAATCCTTGAATTAATCCCAGATACCGATATCTTAGATGCTGAGTTTCTTAAATTCCACGACACAAGCTCTACAAAAACGCTTGGAATAAGATGGAACGCACTAACTGACTTCTTCTCCTACTCTTATGACCCCCTACCCGCCTATAAGTCGAGCAGAAAACGTCAAATACTGTCAGCGGTGGCGAAACTTTTCCACCCGGCAGGATGGCTATCGCCAATAATGATACTTGCAAAAATTCTCCTCCAACAACTATGGTTAGAAGGAACTGACTGGGACGAACACGTTAAGCCCACAAGCTTTCCATAAGTGGAACACTTTTCGCGAGGACCTCCAAGCCATAAGCACCATTAACATACTCCGATGGGTACAATTCTCCCCAGACAAATGCATACAGCTGCACGGTTTCGCTGACGCCTCCGAAAAAGCGTTCTGTGCTTGTGTTTATATGTTTTTGTGGCCAAAACTAAAGTTGCACCCTTGCAAACGGTAAGCCTGCCACGTTTAGAACTCTGCGGCGCCGTGTTGTTATCAAAACTTATCCACCATATCCCATCCCAACTGAAACTGCCACCGCACGAATTGAGACTCTGGTCAGACTCCGCAATTGTGTTAGCTTGGCTTGAAAAACCACCACATACATGGAATACATATGTGGCCAACCGAATCACTCAAATTATCCACAACGTCAGCAACACCCCATGGCGCCACGTACCAAGTGGTGCCAACCCAGCAGACTTAGGCACCCGTGGATGCAAACCTCAAGATCTAGCTGAATGTTGCTTATGGTGGAATGGGCCAGAGTGGCTCTCCAAACCATCTACTTCCTGACCCAAAAACGCACCTTCCAATCCAGCCTCTCCTGAATCCCTCCACACCTTAGAATGTACATATATCCTTGATCGATTCTCCTCATTTTCACGAGCCTTAAGAGTTATTGCTTTTTTGTATCGTTTTATCCGCAACTCGCAAAAATCCCAAATTCCCACCACGTTAGCTCTTACACAGGAAGAGATAAATCATGCAAAACTGAAATTGATCGCAATCACTCAGCGCAACCATTTTGTAGAAGAAACTCAGGCGTTGGAGGCTTCAAAACCAATTGACAAAAAAAGTTCACTACTCACCCTATGCTGGACAAAGCGGGGATCAAGCGAGTAAATGGTCGTCTAGCTCAGGCCGCGCTAAGCTACAATGAACGACACCCCATAATCATCCCAGATGGCTCCAAGTCCTGCTCCTTGCTGCTAGATTTTCTGCATAAAACCTTGCTTCACGCTGAAAAACAGTTAATGGTTCGCATGGTGCAGCAAGAGTATTATATTCCCAGACTCAAACAAAAACTGAAGAGCTGCATCTTTCAGTGCAAGACTTGCGCCATTTATAAACAGCGAATGCGATCACAAATAAGGGCAGCACTGCCCCCTGAGCGTGCAACTTACTCTGTGCCATTTCACACAACTGGTGTCGACTTCGCTGGGCCATTTATGGTAAAGACATCCCCCCTTCGACGAGCGTTCCACACAAAAGCTTATGTTTGCGTATTCGTATGCTTCTCCACCAAGGCTGTCCATTTAGAGTCCTGCACAGATTTGACCACCGAATCGTTCAGAGCCGCATTCACTCGATTCGTCGGTCGCCGCGGACTGCCAAACAAAATTATGTCGGACAATGGGAAGACGTTTATCGGAGCACAGCGGGCTATCCAGCGCGATTTCGTCTTATTCCTCAAGGAGGCAGCTTCTGATGTTGCAGAGCGATATGCGGTACAGGGACTCTCTTGGCAATTCATACCGCCATATGCCCCTCACATGGGCGGTCTGTGGGAAGCCGCCGTAAAAAGTTTTAAAACCCACTTCACCAAAGTCGCTGGAAACCACTAATTCACTTTCGAGGAATTCACCAATCTCCTCATTCGGATCGATCGCGCCCTCTCTCCCCCATGTCACAAGACCAAAGCGACTTACTACCCTTAACGCCGGGCCATTTTCTCCGCGGCACCCCCTTGGTTTCCCTACCCGAACCGAATGGCGAAAATGTATCTCTCACTACAAAATGGCAAAAATTGAAAGTTCTCCATCAGCAGTTCAGCTCACGTTGGAAAACCGAGTACTTGCAAGAACTGCACAAGAGATACAAATGGAAACATCCGCAGCTCAATATTAGCGAAGGAGATTTGGTGGTCATCAAAGACGATCTCTTGCCCCCAAATGATTGGCGGCTTGGCCGAGTCACCAAACTCCATTCGGGTGCTGACCAAAATGTACGAGTAGTGGATGTTCGCACACAAGCCGGCATAGTCATTCGCAACGTCACAAAACTATGCGTACTGCCCCCTTCGGAGGACCTCGTTTTTAATTGCCTCTTAAAACTATCACACTCCAACTAACTCTATAACCCCTGTTTACTGTACACTGACATGTGACTATTTAAGTTTTGCGCTTTTTCTTCGTAGATGAACAGATACACGATGGAGCTAAATCAATGCCGTCTGTGCTGCCGCTATCACTCGCTGAGGTTTTGCCATGCGTTTAAGGCCATGACGTCCGAGGAGCAGTACGAGTCCGCGCGAGTGCACAAATACTGCATCAACTGTTTGGCATCATCGCACATCACAGGTGCGTGCAACTCAGCAGACAGCTGCCATCAATGTGGGAAGGCGCCCCATACCGCACCGCTCTACGCCGCTGGTCCCTGAACGCAATCGCCGCGAGGATGGGCATAGGTCAGGCCGCAGTGGACGAACCACATTCCCCAGCCGCGTGGTAAAGAAATCCAGGAAGCAGGCGTATGGCGACAGCCACCCCGTTCAACAACGCATCCGCAACCTTTTCAATCGTTCTGTGCTGCCATTGGAAAAGCTACAAGAACTGCTTCACCTCGCACCGGTGCAGGCGGGCCGGCATGTCGAGGACATGGACACTAACTTAATCGAGTTCCATTAGATTGAATTTTCCTTTTCTTTGTAAAATGCGTGCGGCCGCCAACGTTATTTTGCCATGTGAATTTACATTTGAAAAATGCTTTGTAATAGTTGCTATTGTAAGCAAGCCATGGGGTGACCTGTGTCCGCAATTAAAATTCTTTTTAACTTCTTCTGTAATGACCGCCGCAGCCGCATCGCACCTGCATTTTCAACTTTCCGTTTCAAAAGACACTCGGGCTCAAAATTGTCGTTGTATTGCATCAATACTTTGAATTACTTCAATAAAAGAACTATTTAAACTTTTTGAATTATACGAAATCCCAATCAGTTTTATTTATTGTGGATTTAGTTTCTCAGGTGCACGCTGTGCCGCTCTAATCAATCCCCTGAGATTGAACAACCTGTGACACTAGTCATTTCTGAAAATCCAGCAGTAAATCAACATCCATGCAAGTTAGTAAATAAATTTACTGATTGGGAAAATTTCCAAATGCAGATGGAAGAATTAGATAAGCCTAATGCCCAAATTGATTCCACTGATCAGCTTGATGATGCGGTATTGAAGATTACGCAACAAATACAGATATCAGCGTAGAATAGTACGCCCGCTTAAATGCTATCCTCCCACGGGAAAACATATTCTGCGTATATAAGAAGCTTAATATCTGTAAAGGGGAAGTTCCGATGTCGTTGGCAGCAATCTAGGTCTCCAGCAAAGAAGTCAAAATAAAATAAAGTCAACAAACAATTGCATATGGCAATTAAGACTTTTAAAAATGACTCCTTCAATCGCTTCCTGGTGGGCCTTTCAGCCGATAAAAGCTCCGATTACTCCTTGTGGAAGGCGTACAAAATATTCAAGAGACCAGTTCAACACGTTGCCCCAATCAAAATCAGCGAAACGCAGTGGGCGAAAACAAACGCGCAAAAAGCGGAGTTGTTTGCCGAGCATCTCGAAAAGGCGTTTACTTTAAACGATGGTCACTACGTAGAAGATACAAATTACATGTTTATTGATTGCGACACACAGAATACTCCAGTTACTCCCGTAGAAGTCGTAACTCAAATTCGTAAATTGGAACGAAAAAAGTCGCCGTCTGAAGTTCTGCTCAATCTGCCTTGTAAATGGATTGAGATTTTATCCGACCTAATTAATACGTGTTTTAGCTTGAAGCACGTACCCATATATTGGAAAACAGCTGAAGTAATCATGATACCCAAGCCTAGCAAATCGCTCAACGATGTGTCGTCATATAGACCGATATCACTTCTGCCAATACTATCGAAACTATTCGAGAAATTACTTTTAATGCGTCTTTTACCCATAATTGACAATAAAAACTTGATCCCTATGCACCAATCCGGTTTAAGGAAGAAGCACTCAACGATCGACCAAATTCACAGAGTTGTAAATACCATTGAAGGTGTATTGGAATCCAAGAAAATTTGTTCAGCCGTTTTCCTTGATGTATCGCAAGCTTTTGATAAGGTGTGGCATGAAGGGTTGCAACAAAAACTAAAGAATTTACTGCCTATGCAATACTGCGAACTACTGGCATCATATCTGGACGACAGATATTTTCGCGTAAAATATGACAACACTTTTTCAAACTTAAAGAGAATAACCGCCGGTGTCCACAATGGAGTATTCTGGGGCCACTTCCCTATCTTTTATATACTCACGACTTACCTGTATGAAGCCAGCACGTAACCGCGACATTTGCGGATGATACCGCG